CTTGTTTCTCCTGAGCACCTCCAGCTCCTCACTCTGTCTCATCATCTTGTCGTTGAGCTCACAGAGGTGGTCCGACATGGTACTCAACTGCTTCTCGTAGCTGCTGGAAGTGGTGGCTAGCTGGTCCTGCACAATTGTACACACAACACCAAGTCTCGGACGGGAAGAATTATTCATTTCAGGCTTTGTGTTTCATGCAGAACGTTGGACTTAACTTCAGTACATACTGTGTAGCGTTTATTTTCGATTAAGTATTTTTGCTGTGTTGTGAACACACACATATATAAAAGATTTTTCACATGGTAAAAAATTTTGCGTTTTCAGAATTTTGAGAATGCCCACTAATGCCTCGACGAAAAAACACGATAAGGTTGGTAGAGACTAGTATACACACCCACTCAGTGAGAGGAGAAGACACTGGGTATATAGGACTGTTAGCTACCTGGAGGTGTTGGATGGTCTCCCTGGCAGTGTCCACGTCCTGGGTCAGTTTGACACGGAGAGCAACATTGTGGTTGAGTTGCTTCATTATGGCACGACTCTAGAGATGGGAGAGAGTTATGGCATAATATTTCTGTACACACAGTAGCTGTGAAACCAGTACCACTTGGTGGGGTGTTTGGTAAAGTTTAAAGTTTCAAATTTCGCTTGCCTAATTTCATGCTGGAGTGTACATAAACCAGAATCAGAGAACAGAAAGCGCATAATATTATGAAATATTTGGGAATTTACTACACATCTCAGCATAGTAATGAGCTGCTTTACTATCAATTTCTTGTGTCTGCAGAGAGAGACATACAGTAATTGAGGGAAAATTCAATGCACACTGGGGTTGAGTGTGCCTGTGCCACGATGCTGCAACATTACCTCAGCTTTGACTTGTAATATCCTCTTGGTAAAGTGTATCCTAATGAGTTCTTCTCTAACTCATTCATCACTGACCTCCTACACATAAATAATTCTAGAAACATTTTTACAGAGTACATGCAATGAATCCCCACCTCTTCTAGAAGAGCAAGGTTTCCAACCTGCACATGAGAGGTAGGGTGTGGGAGGTAATGTGAACTGATAAACACACAGGAGTGCAATACTTACAGAATCAGACAACGACTGTACTTGAGTGCTTACACCTAGTGAATTCTGTGAGGGAAAAACAAGATGCATTTCCCATCAGAATTCAGAGCATGTCCATTATACAACACAGCTCTATTAATCAGTTTCAACTACTAGCTGTGTTGTCCATGGGACTTCTTATGTTTGGATGGACTATTCAATACAACGTACCAACAAGAGCACAACAAATTGGGTTACTTGGAATCTACCAATTTGTTACTAAAACTAAAGGGACATGGTACCAAGATACACCACTCGGTCTATGTAGTCTGATAATGCACACCACAGAACAAATGGACATTACACACAACATCACAGTAACTTCTAAGGTGATTAACTAACTAACATCATACACCATAGGCATAACTGTAGCAGAGGAGATGGTCATACCCTGGACTGAGCAGGAGTGAGGACACCAGAGGCACCACCTGAAGACTGGTGAGACGATTCTTCCTCCAGTCTCTTGGCTTTCTATTGGAAGGAAATTATATAAACACTTAGTGTCAGCAAGGGGATATGAACGCATTGGCACCTTACTAAGAGATTATATTAAGTACTCATCCACAATATAAAATATACATGTGGGAGTAATGTGTTGCAGTGCCTGTCACCTTTTGCCCTTTCTCATATTTCACTTCCAATAGTTGTAGGTCCAATTTGATACGCTCGTTTTCCTGCAGTTTCACATGTAGTAAAAATTGAGACTGAGTGTGTGATATACAAGGAGCAGACCTGTTCTAGCTGAACAATCATCTCCTGACTGCTTACAACCTGTAGCAAATAAATACACAGCACTTTAACAATGCTTTATACAAAAGAGACAAAGACATTCTCTGTGCGTGCACAACAAGAGATATCGGGGTTCGATCCTCAACCTGGTTCCTTTTTTCTCTTTTAGGAAACAAATTGGGAACTGAACCTCATTCAGTTGCCATTATTCAAAGTCATGGTAGAGAATACTGCGGGCAGAGGCACGTGCACGCACAAGAGAGAGAAAGAGAGAGAGAGTCTGGGTAGGAAGGTGCCCTAGGACCTGGGAAGGAGGCGTGTGAGAGTGTGTGAGAGTGTGTGACAGACCTGTTTGGAGAGAGTCTCTCTCTTCTCAGAAGAGCTGGACATACAGCGGGCATGGTGCAGGGCCAGAGTATAGGGCACTGACTCTGGACACTCCTACACAACATCACACATGTGAAGCAGTCAAGTGAATCTTTCAGTTGTTAGTCAGAGGATGAGTGGCCAAGGCAAAAACGACAGAAGGATTTCGAACAGTACGCAAAGCAAAGCAGTAAGGGAGAGAACGACAGAATAAAGGAGAAATCAAGTTTGGGGGCTTCGGAGGGCTTAAACAAAAGGGCTAAACATAAGAGCACATAGTGCACAAAACAGTTGATACTAGGAATTCACAAAATAGTTGATATAAAAAGTTTAAAACTGAGGTAGCAAAAAATGTGTAACACAAAACTCAAATGCAAGACACGCACTACTCCTGTGTAGCCAAGACATGAGGCTTTTTACCTTGTTGAGAGTCCGGATGTAACTTGTGGCTCTCTGTCTTAGTCTCTGTACCACTGAGGATGCAGAAGACTGTGGGGAAAGAAGAACAAGAGACTTTCATTTCTAGTAAACAATGCAGACACTGTCCATGAAAGTGTATAATACCTTGGCCTGAGAGCTGGTGGGTGTGCTCTGAGAGAGAGCAGCACTGAAAACCTCATTATGCTCTTCCAACACCTCACAGATCTATACAAGAAAATGTTAGTTGGTCACCATAGTGCAATGACTTGAGAAGCTTGTACATGTGTACAGGTGCAAAGTCTTGTGGAGATGAATCTCATTTGTTCAAACCACAAGCATTGTCTTATTGGCAGCCTTTATAACTCTGGAGAGGAGAGTGTAGTACGCTGACGTTGTGCTGATGAGGGCTAACCACCCAGAAAGAGCTGTCAAGGGGTCTCTAGAAGGCGCATAGCAGGTGCAAGTGGTACACAGAGGAGAGAGGGTATAGCAGGCGTATGTGGTGTGCAGAGGAGAGAGGGTCTAGCAGGCGTATGTCGTGCGCAGAGGGGAGAGCAAGCTTATGAAGTGTGCAGAAGGGAAAGGGTATAGCAGTCGTATCCGGTGCAAAGAGGGGAAGGCAGGTTGATGCGGTGCACAGAAGGGAGAGGGTATGGCAGGTGTATGCGGTGCGTAGAGGGGAGGGAAAGTGCGCAGAGGGGGAGAGCAGGGTATGTGGTGCGCAGAAGGGAGAGGGTATAGCAGGCATATGAGGGGTGGGCAGGTGTATGCGGTGCGCAGAGGGGAGAGGGTTTAGTAGGCATATGTGGTGCGCATAGGGGAGAGGCATATGTGGTGCGTAGAGGGGATAGCAGGCGTGCCTATGTGGCACGCAGAGGGGAGAGAGTCGTATGTGGTGTGCAGAGGGGGAGGGTCATATGCGGTGCGTCGAGGGGAGGGCAGGCTCAAGAGGGGGAGAGCAGGCGTATGCGGTGCGCAGAGGGTAGAGGGTATAGCAGGCGTATGCGGTGCGCAGAGGGTAGAGGGTATAACAGGGGTATGCGGTGCGCAGAGGAGAGAGCAGAGGTGCGCAGAGGGGAGAGGGTCTAGCAGGCATATGTAGTGCGCAGAGGGGAAAGCAGCCGTACCTATGTGGCGCTCAGAGGGGAGAGAGTCGTATGTGGTGAGCAGAGGGGAGGGCAGGCTCATGCAGGGGGAGAGCAGACGTATGTGATGTGCAGAGGGTAGAGAGTTTAGTAGGTGTATGTGGTGCGCAGAGGGGAGAGGGTCTAGCAGGATCCGGAACTGGAAAGTTATTAGTGCATAACGTCAACATGTGTTGGAGTATTGCAACTGCAAAGTTGTAGCTCGAAAAGACCGAGAAACAGATCTGAAGCTGTGTGAAGCGTAGTTTCTTCGACTAAATGTTTCTTTGAGACTCACCAGCTGCTGCTAGACCCTCTCTACCCAGAGGAGGTGTGACACGGAATAATGACATACTCGTACGTCTGTTGACAATGTATGGGATCCTCCAGATGGCGCAATATTTCTGTAACTGTACGCGCACTACCACATAATGAAGTTGGTGAGTGAAGCGAGCTCACCTAGGCGCATGAATGCAGAATTTTCCCATATAATATGTAACGGTGAACAGACAAGATTCTAAATATGATCTAAAATGCGCGAAATATTGAAATATTGAAATGCTCGCTTCGCTCACCAAAAACGCATTGTAATAAACCTTGCATTAACCCATGTTTCACCAGAAGGTCCTCCTATAGTTAGGAGACCCTCCACATACCTGTAGTGCAATAAGGGTGAGTCCTGAAAGAACTGAGACAATGCATTCGTTGGTCGTGTTGAGTTTCTGAGATGAACTGGGGAGCTGGTACTCAAATGTAATCTTGGAGGAGTAGAGGTTGTGCAGGGCTGAGGGAAGAACACAGAGACAACAACTAAACCGCTGATAAGCACCCACCAACCCAATCTACCTTCTAGCACACTGTGCAGATCTCTGATACTTATCTTCAGTCTCGGTAGACACACAGGAAGGCTGGCAACTGAAACACCCTCCACTGGACCTATATGTACAGGGTATTGTGTACATCCATCACAGAGCAAGATAAACGCTAAAAAGCAACTATAACACGCATGCATGAGTAATTTTGAACATGCGTGGGCCATCTATCTAGTCTTTGTCATCAAAAAACTCTTGCCACAATAACTTCCCTAACGGTTAAACTAAACTGCAAAATGTAAACTTCTTGATGTTGGGTATCTACATACAACAGTAGACAGGCATCCCTGGATTGTGAAAGCAATGTCATTGGCCATACAGTTTAAAAAACACTGAAGTACAAAACTTGGCACAAAATGCAATACGACTGTATTGACAGTGCACAATGCCTCATGCAGTGATGAATTAAAACATGCTGGTGTTTGCAATGCTCCAACCCTCCTTAGGGACTACACTAAACCCCACGTTGAAGTTCTAAAGGATATGCAGCATTATTACAAACTAAGAAGTCTGTACTACAAACGAGTTTGTGTGTTAGGTTGCAAAAGGATAATGAAAAGGTGTGAATATTCTTATGGTACTACAGTACACACACAGTAAACAAAGAAGGTAATACATACATGTAATATGTGGTTAAAGGTCTACTCTACACATCACTTTTTCTCTCTTGGAACAAAATTGAAGTTTGCAGTAAATTAATTTATTAATTTGGTGTGGGTACAACAACAAAGTACTCTTCCAATGCAAAATAAACAAAATAGGTAACCGTACGACATTAATAAAGAAATTCCGATTAAAATTCTGGATAGTATCCAGACTGAATCAAACAAGGGAGACTGCATGACAGTGATATTATGTGTGTAATATTCCAGGGGTATCACTTCCGAATAGATGGCCATGCCCCAAAGATGTGTCAGTAGTGCAACTAACATTGCAATTGTGATGGAGTTATGAAGTGAGTGTTTATAGGTCGGAACACCAGATGAAGGGTGAGGTAGATAAGAATCCAAATACTGACAACTGGAATAAGCATACTGGAGAGAGTGAGGGTAAAGGTCAGGTTCACCATCAATGGTTCCAACAATATACCAGCTGAGAAAAAGCGATAGTCTCTGGTGTTGTTTGTGCCATCTTTAAACGGACCTTGAAATACTTCCACAAACGTTCGCAGTGTTAATGAATTGAGGCCGAATGTGTTGAGGATTCGCTGGAACCAAGAAAATGGGTACACAAACAATAAAACCATTGGCAGGATAAAAAATATAAATGATAATGATATAGCCATAAGGGCAAACGGCAAGTGACTCTTACCAAAATACTCAACTGATGGTGAGTAGAAAAGATAGTATGCTTCAGTTAGCTTCATGCGTCTATCAGGCCCTTGCTGGTATGTGTAGGTGGTGATCGGAACTAGAAGGCCAATAGAAGTCACAAGTAGACGGGTTGAGGAAAGATAAATAAATGATGCAAACGCGTCAACAAGGGATGTTTTTACATTCCAATGCCTTCGTAAGGGGTGTAGAATAACAGAGAGCAGCTTCCAGGGCCATACAAGGAGTTTGAAGTTGTGGTCGTGGAGTTTGACCATGACATATGTGATTCCAATCAGTACCACTGGGTAGACTGTTGTAGCATAGTCCAGAGCCATGATGGCCATGGCTGAGGCATCGGGGTGAAGGCAGAAGGAGTAATACAAACGAAAGAAATCAAGATTCCAAAGTGATGCAATTGATTGGTATACCATAATAAGTTTAGGATGGTATAGAATACCAGCCTTTTTCAAGCTGTGGGATAATTGCAGGGATACTGGGTGACCTACAATTTGAAAAGTTAAAACCAGTCCAGTCAGTAAAGGAGATGTGAAGCTAATGGAGAAGAGAGTAACTAGAATGTAGAAGACAGTAAGTGGAAGAAAAGCAGCTGCCAAATACTTTAACCAGTTGTACTTGTAGTTCTCACACTTGACACATGCAAGATCGTAAGAGTACACAGGAATGGCATATCCATCATCACATGTACCGCACAACTTTCCATGTCTGTGCAAACCTGCACATGTGAAGTTATTTATCTGGGACACATCACATGGAAGTGGGTAGTAGCCCATGATAGCTTTACATGTGCACATGCAAGACCCAACTACCAGAACTCTATCTTCCTCTGTCATACAGTAGCACTGTAGTAGACTAGTTTGAAGAGTCAGTATATCTTGCTGTATGATGCCACCTACTTTTGGTCCAGGCTGACATTCTCCGTTCTCACTAGTAAACCATGGTGGACAATCATCACGACTTAGACTGTGGTCTATTGCAGACTTTTCTGGAACACTAACAAGGTCAGCAGAGCAGTTTTTGTACTCCAGACTGTCCAACAGCAAACCAGTGCAGTGCACTGTAAGAGCTAATATCACAGTAACAGTTGTTAGGAGCATCTATCTAGTCTTTGTCATCACTCTGGGCACAAAAAACCCTTGCCACAATAACTTCACTAATGGTTAAACAGAACTGCAAAATGCAAACTTGTTGATGTTGGGAAGTCGACAGGCATCCCTCGATTGTGAAAGCAATGTCATTTGCCATACTTGCAAAATGTTATTACCAGTTAAAAAAACACTGAAGTACAAATACTGGGCACAAAATGCAATACGACTGTGTATTGACAGTGTGCAGTGCCTCATGCAGTGATCAATGAAAACATGTTGGTGTTTGCAATGCTTGAACCCTCCTTAGGGACTACACTAAACCCCATGTTGAAGTTCTAAAGGATATACAGCATTATTACAAACAGAAGTCTGTACTACAAACGAGGGATTGAACACTTAAAATGTGTTCGGTTGCAAAAGGATAATGAAAACGTGTGAATTTTCTTTTGGTACTACAGTACACACACAGTAAACAGGTAATACCGACAAAAATAACTACTAAGGCAAGGAAAAGTTAATGATATTGGTACAACTTTCATCTCTATGCATTACAGATAGCCAGGGACAAGAGGATAACTGTAAGGTTTTGTAATCATCTGTCACTATACTGTCCGTGCATGATCACGAGACGTCACATGTAATAATGTTGTTGAGTCTGAGACCGCGTGTGTGTGAGCAAGTGGCTATCGAAGTGTGCTAGCGAGATCCTGCTGGGACCACGGTAGGCCGTTACATAACGTGTCTAGGGGAATGCTCGAGCACCCCCTGGCGTTAGTAAACAATAAATTATGTCCTCTGTTTCTTTGCCAACATTAGTAGCATTTCCACGACTACCTCTAGCCGAACTGAAAATTGTGCGATTCTGCAGTAGACATGCGTATGCGAAGACAAGCAACTTTGGACTTGATTTTCCAGACCATTGGACCCGCCTCTTTATCTGAACAAAACACACTAGCCATGGTTTTACATCCTTGTGCAAAAGACAATCCAAGCCACTATGTGCTAAGATTACTTCACACTCGCAAGTCTTATGGTACAAGTACCGAGTAAACAGCCCAAAATCTAGTGTTGACCCATGCATATAGCTGAGTAAGCAACTGGTCCCTTCAAAAAAGCAGATTACATGATGTGTTTGCTCCTTGAAAATAACCAACTAGACACGTCAATATTAGACTTTGATCGCAGGTATGAGACCATGGCTTTCCGACACTGTGCATGGCCAGGGTATACAATCTGAATGGATCACATGCATTATAACTGCTCTTTACAAGAAAACAATTTCCTCCACAGTCTTCTAAAGCAGAAAAGCACTCTGCTAATAATTATTGTTTCATTGTACATTCAAGCGTTAAGTACCGTACTGTTTCGCCGACTATGGCGTGCAAAAAATCTTATAGTGACTGTTGTATGCACGTGTCGGTGCTCGAGAGATGGGTTGCCGTAGTATGCTCTAAAAGCAGTTCAACCTTTTGCTGACTGTAGCTATGCACGTGTGGGGACTCTATTCAACTTATAAAACTGTAGTTCATTTGCAAACATCAAGACTTGTATTACAAAAATAATGTTACAAAATGGTTTACAAATGTAACACACTCATTTTTGTTTGTCACCTTTTAGAATGCAAATTCTTAGTAATGTTAGCAAGCCCAAACCGAGAAGGTATAAAAGCAATAAAATTATAGACAATGTAAATAAAAAGATAGATATCACAAGAATTGCTCCAAAAAGGTCCGCGTTATGTTTTAAAAATAATGCTCCACTCAATGCCACCGATACGACCTCAGAATTAATGGCCATGCCCCAGTAGAATCCTAGCAGACACACTAATGCGACACTTGTGGCAAAATTGTGAACCAAACGTTTGTATGCCGAAACACAAGATTAAAAGTGAGGTAGATAAGAATCCAAATACTGGCCACTGGATAATACATACTTGAAAGAGTCAGGGAATATGTCAGGTTCAAAATCAGTGGAATAAACAGAAGACAACCAGAGAAATAACGATAGTCTCTGGTGTTGTTCGTACATCTTTAAAATGACCTTGAAAAACTTCCACAAACGTTAGCAGTGTTAGGGAGTTGAATGGAAGTTTGTTGAGTATTTGTTGGAACCACGAAAATGGGTACATAAAAAGTAAAACCATTGGCAACACAAAAAACATGAAAGTCAGCGATATAGCCATAAGGGCAAACGGCAAGTGACTCTTACCAAAATACTGCACTGATGGAGAGTTGAAAAGATAGTGCGCTGTAATCAGTTTCATTTGTCCATCTGTACCGTTTTCGTATGTGTAAGAGGTAAAAGGAACTAAAAAGTTAATAGAAGTCACCAGTAGGCGGGTGGAGGAAAGATAAATAAATGATGAAAACACATCAACAAGGGATGTTTTTACATTCCAATGCCTTCGTAAGGGGTGTAGAATAACAGAGAGCAGCTTCCAGGGCCACACCAGGAGTTTGAAGTTGTGGTCATGGAGTTTGACCATGAAATATGTGACTCCAATCAGTACCACTGGGTAGACTGTTGTGGCATAGTCCAAGCCATGATGGCCATGGCCGAGGCCATCGGGGTGAAGGCAGAAGGAGTAATACAAACGAAAGAAATCCAGGTTGCTGAGAGAAAAAATTGACGACAGTACCATGACAAGTTTTGGTTCAAGAATAACTCTAGACTTCACAAGGCTTAAAAGCAGCTGAGTCTGTACTGGATGTCCTACTATTTGAAATGCCATCACCAGTCCAGTTAGTAGAGGAGACGTGAAGCTAATGGAGAAGAGAGTCAATATAATGTAGAAGACAGTAAGTGGAAGAAAAGCAGCTGCCAAATACTTTAACCAGTTGTGTTTTGTAGTTCTCACACTTGACACATGCAAGATCGTAAGAGTACACAGGAATTGCATATCCGTCATCGCATGTACTGCACAACTTTCCATGTCGGTGCAAACCTGCACATGTGAAGTTATTATCTGGACACATCACATGGAAGTGGGTAGTACCCCATGATAGCATTACATGTGTACATGGAAGCACCAACTACCAGAACTCCATCATTCTCTGTCATACCGGAGCACTCTAGTACGAGTTTTGAAGAGTTAGTATCTTGCTGCTATGATGCCACCTAGTTTTGGTCCAGGCTGACACTCTCCGTTACTCACTAGTAAACCATGGTGTACAACCATCATGACTAGACTGTGGTCTATATTGCAGAATTTCTGGAACCTAGTGACAAGGTCTGCAGAGCAGTTTTTGTTACTCTAGGCACTGTCAAATCAGCAAACAGTGCAGTGCCACTGTAAGAGCTAATATCACAGTAACAGTTGTAGGAGCATCTATCTGGTCTTCTGTCATTACTCCGGCACAAAAAACTCTTGCCACAATAACTCCCCAACGTTACACTGAACGCAAATGTAAACTATTGATGTGGTGGTATCTACATATAACAGTGACACAGCCATCCCTGGATTGTGAAAGCAATGTCATAGTCCATACATGCAAAATGTTATTACCAGTTAAGAAAACACTGAAATACAAACACTTGGCACAAACTGCAAGACGGCTGTGTATTGGACAGTGTGCAGTGCCTCATGCGGGATGAATGAAACATGTGGGTGTTTGCAATGCTCCAACCCTTCTTAGGGACTACACTAAACCCCATGTTCATCATCTGCAGTATTATTAACCCTCGCCTGTGCTCATGCGCAGGGAGCAATCGGTCTGTGTGTGTGTGTGTGTGTGTGTCCGTCCATCCGTCTGTCCACCGTTTTCCTCGGTAACCGCGGCAACTCGGACGCGTGAAACGCTGGACAATATTATGAAGTCAAGTAGCATGCATGGTAAAATATGATTCTGTGTTTGAGAAGGAGGCAGGAAAAGCTGGTGAAACGGCTGAGGTGAGTGTGCGTCAAATAGAGATCGCTGCACTTAGATGCATGCTTTGCGCGTGTGGAGAAGATTTGCTGGTCTGCCACTATCGATGGTACAGTTGATTAGGAGCGAGATTGCCGGTGAAGTGAGAGCAGGAGCGAATCTGTTCAGTGAAGGAGTCACTGAGGTATAACCATTGGCTGCTGAATGTAGGCTCTAATAAACTACTATTGGAGCTCCATAATCACCAGGGGCGAGGGTTATGCACTTTCAAGTGTACTACGAATGAGGGATTGAACACTTAAATGTGTTCGGTTGCAAAAGGATAATGAAAAGGTATGAATTTTCTTATAGTACTACAGTACACACACAGTAAACAAAGAAGGTAATACATACATGTAATATGTGGTTAAAGGTCTATCTGCACATCACTTTTTTTCTCTTGGAAGAAAACTGAACTTTGCGGTACATTAATTTATTAATTTGGTGTGGGTACAACAACAAAGTACTCTTCCAATGCAAAATAAACAAAATAGGTAGCTGTATGACATTAATAAAAAAATTCCAATTAAAATTCTGGATAGTATCCAGACTGAATCAAACAAGGGAGGCTGCTTGACAGTGATATTATTTGTGTAATATTCCGGGCGTATCACTTCCGAATTGATGGCCAGGCCCCAATGACATGTCAGTAGTGCAACTAACATTGCAATTGTGATGGAGTTATGAAGTGAGAGTTTATAAGGTCGGAACACCAGATGGAGGGTCAGGTAGATAAGAATCCAAACACTGGCCACTGGATAAAGCAAACTGGAGCGAGTTAGGGTCAAGGTCAGGTTCACCATCAATGGTACAAACAGTATACCAGCTGAGAAACAGCGATAGTCTCTAGTGTTGTTTGTGCCATCTTTAAACGGACCTTGAAAAACTTCCACAAACGTTCGCAGTGTTAATGAATTGAGGCCAAATGTGTTGAGGATTCGCTGGAACGAAGAAAATGGGTACACAAACAACAAAACCATTGGCAGGATAAAAAATATAAATGATAATGATATAGCCATAAGGGCAAACGGCAAGTGACTCTTACCAAAATACTCAACTGATGGCGAGTTCAAAAGATAGTATGCTTCAGTTAGCTTCATGTGTCCATCAGGCCCTTGCTGGTATGTGTAGGTGGTGATCCGAACTAGAAAGCCAATAGAAGTCACCATTAGACGGGTTGAGGAAAGATAAATAAATGATGCAAAGACGTCAACAAGGGATGTTTTTACATTCCAATGCCTTCGTAAGGGGTGTAGAATAACAGAGAGCAGCTTCCAGGGCCATACAAGGAGTTTGAAGTTGTGGTCGTGGAGTTTGACCATGACATATGTGATTCCAATCAGTACCACTGGGTAGACTGTTGTAGCATAGTCCAGAGCCATGATGGCCATGGCTGAGGCATCGGGGTGAAGGCAGAAGGAGTAATACAAACGAAAGAAATCAAGATTCCAAAGTGATGCAATTGATTGGAATACCATAATAAGTTTGGGGTGGTATAGAATACCAGCCTTTTCGAAGCTGAGGCATAATTGGAGGTATACTGGGTGACCTCCCATTTGAAAAGCTAAAACCAGTCCAGTCAGTAAAGGAGATGTGAAGCTAATGGAGAAGAGAGTAACTAGAATGTAGAAGACAGTAAGTGGAAGAAAAGCAGCTGCCAAATACTTTAAACAGTTGTACTTGTAGTTCTCACACTTGACACATGCAAGATCGTAGGAGTACACAGGAATGGCATATCCGTCATCGCACACACTACACAACTTTCCATGTCGGTGCAAACCTGCACATGTGAAGTCATTTATCTGGGACACATAACATGGAAGTGGGTAGTAGCCCATGATAGCTATACATGTGTACATGCAAGACCCTACTACCAGAACTCCATCAGTCCTCTGTGTCATACAGTAGCACTCTGGTAGACTAGTTTGAAGAGTCTGCAAATCTTGCTGTATGATGCCACCTAGATTTGGTCCAGGCTGACATTCTCCGTTCTCACTAGTAAACCATGGTGGACAACCATCATGACTTAGACTGTGGTCTATTGCAGAATTTTCTGGAACACTGACAAGGTCTGCAGAGCAGTTTTTGTACTCTAGACTGTCCAACAGCAAACCAGTGCAGTGCACTGTAAGAGCTAATATCACAGTAACAGTTGTTAGGAGCATCTATCTGGTCTTTGTCATTACTCTGGGCACAAAAAACTCTTGCCACAATAACTCCCCTAACGGTTAAACTGAACTGCAAAATGTAAACTTCTTGATGTTGGGTATCTACATATAACAGTCGACAGGCATCCCTGGATTGTGAAAGCAATGTCATTGGCCATACATGCAAAATGTTATTACAAGTTTAAAAAAACACTGAAGTACAAACACTTGGCACAAATGCAATACGACTGTATCATCCCTGGATTGTGAAAGTGATGTCATTGGTCATACATGGCCATACATGCTGTGTCATTAGTAAACCGTGGTGGACAACTGCCACAGTCTTCTTCTGGTGTAGTGGAAAATTACTGAGAGATGTAGAGCAGTTTCTGTACTCCAGACTGTCTAACAGCAGTGCAGTGCAAGTTACTGTCAAAAGTAATACCACAACCAAAACCTTTTGAAGCATCAGTTCTTTGCTATTACTCTGGACTAAGCCAACTATCCTCAGCCCTTCATATACGTATTATACTCTCGTAACAGTAATCTAAACAACACGTGATACACAGGAGGGAAATGCATATACACTCGTATATTTTCTGCTGCTTCCCTTGAAACAGGAAGTTTACAATACTCTTGTTGCTGGACTTGTGGAATGAGTATTCCACAAGTACATGTAATAATATGTGGTAACACACTTCACTTTTGAAGGACAAGTTGATTATCAGTTTGGTGCATAGGAAAATCGAACACATCCTGCTTGACTGAATATAGTAGCTCTGTTGGTACATACGTATGATATACCAACTCAGAGGGTAGAATTGAGCCGAAACAACCTATATTAAAGCTCAACCCACTCAATAATGTTTTTTGTGCATAACCTTCTCTTTCCACAATATATAAGCGAGACTCATCAAAAACAACAAACCCAAAATAATGGATGTATATACTCTGACCTCTAGCCAGGAGTGACAGGTAGTTGTCAGCAGTGGAGAAAGCAGCCACTAGTCGCGGGAGAGTGTTGCTGATCTGCATGTTGATGTCTGTCAACTGTACCCCACACACACTCTCTCCACACTCCTCCTGCAAACTGAAACAATACACACATCCATGTATAAATTGTAGCTGGTGGAACACATGCACAGCGAGGGTTACAGTACTTGGTCTGTCCGTGTGTGTCAATGGCTACAGAAGCCCAATGACTAATACCAATGGCTTCAGGGCTACAAGGGCGCTAAAATATTTGCTAAAACAACTGCATTAACAGATATGGCATAAAAAAGCGAAATATGCATGATCAGCACTCAATCTGGCTTATCCCATTCAACGCACCATACAGCAGGACGAGTATCCATTCCAGCTTCCAAACGCTACTTACTGATGCAGCTAGCCCGTGATTGAGCGAGAAAAGTGTCGATGAGTTAGACCGTGTGGGCCTATTAATTAGTTGTGCTTTATGCACATGCACATTAAGCTGGCGAGCCTTCCTTTTGTTGCACTTTAGTGCTCCACATACACTGTGTGGCTATGAAGCCTGTGTATGTACCTGATCTGGAGGTATGGGGTAAGGGTGTCCAAGTAGGCCACCAGTCTCCTGTGAGCCAGTGCACACTCCATCAGGTCACTACTGCCGGTCTATGGTGAAGTGGGCATACATTAATCCATTTTTGTACTTATGAGCAAATACGAGCATTATGTCCAGTGCAATCACACAATAATACCTTAAGGTTACTATTAATTGCGGGCACTAATTTTAGCGTTTTTGCACTGAGTGTTTTTGGCGTATACTAATTTTAGCGATTTGTGTCTCCATAATGTAATAACAATAAGTGTTAGACGCTGATTCGAGGTAACTACGCGCAGTAGAAAACCGAGAGCCCCAGCATTGTGGCGCCCCCAGCGCAGCAAGGGCGCTACCCCCGGGGCACAACGTACATGTAAACAACAAGATCAACAATACATTGCGCGTCGTCCAAACGCACGCGCAGACCCCCCTGCGCGCAACGTCACGCGCAAAAGAAGGCGGAGTCGCTCCAACGTGTCTCTGCCGCTTCGCTCTTCTTGCACTGCATTTTCTGGCCTGTCTCCATCGAATTATCGTTAGAAGCGCTCCGCCATACGAACGAACAGGAAAGCCAGAGCGCTCAATGTGAAGCGCTCACTCAGACGCTGATTCGACGCGCCAGATGTCTAACATTTTTGTTCTATTTAAACGAATTTTCATTGCGGCACAACTATTAGCGCGCATATAATTTAGCGGTTTTGCTGATTCCCGCTAAAATTAGTACCCGCAATAAATAGTAACCTTAAGGTAATACTCAGGTGGCTGCCATAGCACTAGGGCCATAGACCACGCACCCAGAGCAATGGGCGGAACCGTTAACAAACGAAGTGCAGTCACACACATAACTATCTTATTTCTGCAGAGCCTATTCTACCATAATAATATGGTGGAAAGTCCCTTAATTATTAGGCTGAGGGTGAAGCCCTCTAGTAATTGCTACAAAATGAGGCTGATATTCTATAGTGGGATTTGGTTCCTGCCTACACATAATCAGCTCCTTGACGTGTGGTGTCTCCTGACTCCTATATAGTTCCTTTCGGAAACTTTTCTTGTCCATCAGTTTACACACAAAAGTAAAGGTGTAGTATAAACAATTGTAATGGAAGCTGCATCATGTAATGCCTTAAGACCTGTCGGACTTCCCAAGATCTGTACAAGGTCTGTGATAACGCACTCTAAGATTCAGTTTCATTGCCATTCACACAATGTACGGTACAAAATACAATGTGCATATAATTATTACTATGTGTGTCTTTGTCAACTAAAGTATGTTGTTGGTTGCATTAAAAAGCAACAGAATCTGGTGGCTGAGACAAACAAGACTCTATTAGGCATTGTAGAATGTCCCCCAGCTGTATCGTCGACATCACAGCAGTGCCAGTTGGTCCACAGCCACAGCCCCAAGCACACACCTCCCTTTTCCCAGCATATCCGGAAGCCGCCGCCAAATCTCGCCTGCAGGGTCATAGAGGTCGACACATGCAAGCTTTTCCCTCCCCCTGTGCCCTCCGACCACCACAATGTCGCCGTTCACCACCGCAGCAGAGAATCCAGCTCGAGGATGGGGCATCTGGGACTCCAACCCAGCCCACTGGTGGGTGTCTGGGTCGTACCGGTAAATTGAGGGATGTCCCTCTCTTTCGTGCCTTGATGAGGTCCTCCCGCAGAGTATGTATATGGCCTCATCGCATTTGACGGCCTCGGAATACATGTGATAGGGGAGGGTAGTGGGTACAATCTCCCAACTGTCGCTGGATGGGGAATAGATGTGGATGCTGTACATGTCACTAGAACCGCGACCAAAGACAAAGATGGAGTTATTGTGTGATAACGGCAGCCGGGCTTCCTAGCTCTGCCCCCAATCTAGCCACAGGCCCCCATTCGTTGAGGTGTAAATCAAAGACTTCGGCGGTGTCTAGAGGAGCTCCCAGCCTGCTCTGGCCGGCAATGACGTACAGCCTGTTGTTGAGAGCCACGCACCCACTGAACATGCGAGCCTGGCTCATGTTGGGTAGAGAGGTCCACCGTTTAGATCTCTGGCAGTAAACCTCCACTGAGCTTAGAGTCGCCTTCCCGTTGTGACCACCGACTGCATACACCTTCCTGCAGTGAGCTACGACACCCAATCGCTTTCTGGGCTCGTTCATGGATGGCCCGGGCTTCCAGCGAGCGGTGTGTGGGTCGTACCACTCCACGGAATGGACGACCGAGTCCCCGTCCCATCCTCCGATTGCACACAGGACTTGGTAAGGTCTCCGCTGCTGGAAAAACAGTAAACACCTTTTTTTACTCTTATGTACAAGCATGTTGAACAGTAGTTATGCATAAGGCTAGGTTCACAATATGTCGCATTGCCACGTCGCGAGGATACTATCTTCGCGGGAGGACGCGACATGGCACGGCGCGACGGGGCAATGCGACATATTGTGAACTTAGCCTAACGCAAATGCTATCTACCCACATAAACAAGCCTTAAATACTCAGCATAGGTATACTAATGATCTCATAGGCAAAAGCATGAACAGTATTTACATAAATACATGCCCACATAAACAAGCCACAAATACTTAAAGAACCAGCTGAATGGACACGCACTCATACTAATGATCTTTGTTTACTACAATTTGTTTGGTATTCGCAATGTTTTTACGCATGCAACTCTCTTATTATACTCACCTGTGGTCTGGTGTTAGTTGCCGGAGACAGTTGGACAGAAAGAGCTTGGCGAACCAGCTCCATGCACTCTGGGCTACCCGACACTATTACGTGAGGCCACACCCTCTCCACCAGTACACCAGGGGGTAGAAGGGAGAGCCGAACACAGCCCAGAACCCTGGGAGCGTGTCGAGAGCGAGAGCCAGCGTCGTGGTCCAACCACCGCAGTGCTGCCTCCACTACGACCTCTTCTTCCCCAGACACACAGAGATGGTTGCTGGACAAACACTCCTCCAGGTGCTCCAAGGACAACTCCAGGAAATCCTCCTGCTCGCTCACAGCCACGAAGTTCAGATTTCGACAGAGGCTGGCCGCTCTGTTTAATTCGGGGCAGGAGTACGTGTCTGCGACTTGAAGTAGTTCCAAGCAGTTGGCTGGAGTTAGACAGCTACAGAGAAATTCACAGCACACCTGTTTCACCTCTGAGAACTGCAGCATGTCTGCAGCACTTGTCAGTTGCAGAGCACTTGTGTAGGACAGCGACAAGGACGAAGAGTACGCAAAGTCGACCAAATCTTGAACGGCATTAGACGGGATCTCCCCGATGTCTACCTCTCCACTCTCACTCTCTTTCATCCCAGAGGTGAACATTGCAGAAAAGAACGGACTAGCGGCACACAACACAATCCTGTGGGCATGCAGACGTAGCCCACCGCCAACCCGCAGCGTCACGTCACAGAGTCGACCCAGACTCCCTCATCTTTCTCAGCTCACGCAGCAGAGTCAGTGAGTGGCTAGTACTAACGAAGGTTTGACTGGTGGTCCTCGCATCATCTGGTTCTGCATGCTCCATAATGCACTGATTCATGAAGATTATATTAGCTTCTTATACTAAGCAAGGCATGTTTTATACAGGAAGGGCCATGGGAAAGTGCTCACGTGTACATACGCGTAGTTGCATATCAAGATTTACAGTACATTATGATACATGTATGTATGTATATACAGTGCAATGAGTAAGAGCAAGATGGCATGCATGATAGTTGGTTGCTGGCCCAGCAGAAGTGGTTGGTCGATAAGGCTCTAAAAATAGTACACGTTACGTCATTTCTATACAGAGGACATAATTATGTATGAAGTGTGCATGAGTGTAGTAGTATATACTACCTGATCCTAAAGTAAAAACAACAACCTTTGCTCATAAGAAGTTTAACCAAAACTCATTTGGGGCCCAGAGCACCCCAAGGATCAACTTGCATTATTAATAATGAATGCACATGCAACAAAAAAAAGAGAAAAAGCGGCAGGTGAGAACGACACATGAGGTAGGATTCTAACTCGGAACCGGTGTCACAGCCATTTTACAGAATGCGCCACTCGCGCTACTGCGCCAGTGTGTGGATAAAACACCTCAGTGTGTAATCTGGCCCCAATCAAAGCATTATACGTGACAATTGTGCTTACCGTAGTGGAGTAAGGTTGGCATGTAGTTTCCCACGTACTGTGAGAAGCAAGAGACAAGAGGCTTGATATAGGATGAGAGGAACTGTGCAACAGTTTGGCAGAGCTATGCACACGCAACAATAGGCAGAAAACGAACGGTGAGAGAAGGGGAAAGGAGAGTCAAAACAAAAAACAATGGCAAAGGAGAGAAGAGAAGAATGTAAATGAAATTGCGTTCTCCAGGTAAACTTTACCCTTTTGATTGACAGTGAAATCCACACCAGTGCTGGATACCTATGGGATATGTACTGCAGCGCGTGTATGTACAAGAAGAAAATTATTGCGTAAACAAGTGAGGGAAAAATGACAGGTGTAAGTAATACACTCAGACGGTGGGGATCAAATAGATTATTTGTTACACCATTTTATGTTGTCTCTAGGTCATATAATCGTACATTTGTGTGTGTACTACGTACATGCACATGTTAAGCATCACTGAAATTTCTACGTTTCAGTCGGGTCAGAGCAAATCAACAATACATAACCAAGTATACGGATACAATGTGCATACGCCAAAGACTGTGGTTGGTTTAAACTCCGGCCCCACTAAAGAACTCCGAGTGAGCGTTTAGTGTGATCGTTGTGCTCTACCTGTTGTAGATGGAGTGGAGGGTGGATAGCTGGAGGTGGACCAAAGGAGGTGACCAGCTCGAGGCTGGCTCGCAGGGACACCAGGACCCTTCCGGCAACTTGGCATCACCACGGGCACATCAGAGTCGCATACGTGTCCACGTCGATCGGACTGGAGGGACGTGTACAGGGGTGTCCAATATGATGAAACGCTCATATACGATAAAATTCTGTTATAACAAATGATGGAGTTACACTGTCAGAACAATATTTGCGTGCGAAAGCTATGAAAATAGGTGGAAATGGAAAGCTTGATCAAAAAATGGGACTTTTGGTACTGCGAAGGCAAGACCACTGCTGGTTCGACTGGCAGGGCGACCCCACTCTCTCTAGCCCACACACGCGCGCGAGGCCGCGCACTCACACAGAGTACTAGAGCTCGCGGCTGCTCAAAGAGGCTGGCTGCAGACTGGTGGTGGGTGAGGCCAGGCAAGAAGAGCGCTACCTATCACCTCAGGTCCGTTGGAAGACTGCTATAATACACATGGTGTAGCTTCTGCATCGTGACACATGATGTTGTAGCATCTATATACTGTGTGTGATCTACAAGCACGCCCCACCACATGTGTACACAATTAGTTATGTGAACCGTCTCCTATTAAATATCCCCTCTTAAGTTACGTTAATGTGTCCCACGGGACATACTCAGACTACATATTGGAGATAGTCTCAGTTAGCTATAATGAGAGAATGCCACTGACTGCTGCTGGTGTGACTGATGCTGAGGAGGAAAAGCTCTCGGCAAGCAGGTCGTGAGTCAGGACAATAGAGTCTGATAGCGGTGCCGCGCGCGTCCAGGCAACGAAGCCGCAGACACGGGGACACCTCGACTGGTGGTCTGGCCTCGTGTCTCCTACAGCTGGCGTGTCACGGTGACAGAGCCCCAGTTCGCGTAATGTAGGCGCACACCACCGGACAGAGTCCAGGAGAGCATTGATGTCCCTCTTCAACAAGAGAACACGTCAGTCAGTATATCGACTGGCTATATAAATACCAGTGGTGCGCAATAAGGGACCCTGCCGAGATAGGGACACCTCTTGACCAAGGACACTTGTTTCAACCCATGCTAAGTATATTTAGTGCAGTCTTTGCGCCTCCGACATATATAGGGAACCCTCTACTCAAGGACAAAATCATTGGCTCTCTAGTGTCCCCTGTCAGAGGTTCCATAGTCACGCACGCAAACTGACCTCCTTGTGTGAATGATAGGCATGTAAAAGGCGTACTCTCGTCTAGCTTGACGATACATTTCGAGGGGCGAGGGTTCGCCCCTGTGTTATACTACGCTGGATTTGGTGCCAAATCGGGGTGTGGGTGACTTCACTTGCTCAAACAGACGAAAAGAGAAGTCGCGGTACGAGTGCAAGGAAAGTCTTCGCCTCTCATCAAGCCTGACTTGACTCAGTGCTCATCAGCGAACACTCAGACCGCACACAAACACATTGTAATCTACTACATGGTATGTGTAATTACCTCTAGCAATGCGGCCATTGTCATTAGTATACGATGCAGGTTGCTACAATTAGGTTCTAAGAACCTGCATATTGGTGCAGATATGTGAGTCTAACATGTGTTGGAGTATAGAGACACGGCCTTTCATAATGATATGAGCGAGTACAGGGCACTGCGTGGCTCGTTGTGATTACATTCTGAGTATGTAACGACCAGTTGCAATGAGACTTTGTGGTCACTATGGATGAGTGCATGCAAACACTGCTCACGCGTTCACATGCGACTCTCTCTCTCTCACTCTCTCCACCTCTCTCTCGCGGCGAGTCTTCAGTACGAGAGCTTCACAACTACAGTACAGTGTACAAGTGAGTTACGCTGCTCCACTGATTACAGGATTATTCGTTTTTCGCACCCCACTGTGAAGCAGATAGTGAGCGGGAGAGACACACTCTGCAAAGGGGATCAGATGTGTACATACGACATGCCTAGTGCACAAGAGCCAGACCTCTGGCCACAGCCATACAGATTTGGACCTGGCAGGTATGGTCAAATGATGGACATTCATCAACATTTCCAGTGTATCGCCATGTTTACTACCAGCACTGCCCAGTGAACAGTGTTTCTACACCATTGTAAATAGAATAAAACCACATGTCGTAATGCTGTAGATACGTTATGAGCAAAACTATGCATGTGTTGCATATGACTTGCATGTAGACATCAAGTTGTATCTTCAGCCATCATTAACTCGACGAGATGACAGAGGCCTCTGTCTTGAGAAAGCTTGACGAGATTCCTTGTCACTACAGGAAGACCCACATTACGATAGGATGTATGCCAGCAGAAGTGCTCATGGGCGAAAGCTGCGCTCGAGATTGGATCTCGTCAAACCGAGAATCTTCTCATACAGTACGTGCGAGACAAACAGGAACACCAGCGACGTCAACACGGCGATCTTCATGCCACGCAGCGCACGTGAGGCAAGTGTCTCGGTACTCTATGCCACAAGTGTCAGTGTGGCATCATTAGGGATAGAAGGGACTCCCACAATTCGCGCATGAGTTCAGCAATGAGGAGGGATTGTGATGATGAAGCGAGAAGCATGACCACATGCCCCATTCAGTGCAGGACCTCACGTGTGTCTCGGGCGCCAAGTTTGCCCGGCCCAGATGAAAATGCTCTGTTCAACTCTGCATCACTATACTATTGTCCTAGTCACCCACAGACGGAGGTAAACTCCCTGCTGCCTCAATTTGACCTAGCATCACTGCAATGTGTAGGCTAGAGCAGAGTTTATTAGCAGTGCATGCATGGCCAGGAGTATATAATGTTAATTTGGTGATGTAAATGCTATGTAAGGGCAACCAGATATTATAGTGGGGTTTGTTGAAGATGGATGGTATCCCCCATCAGAGGTACCCACGTTTATTAGCGCACAGGCAGA